ATGGGCAATTCCTTTCTAGTTGTGCAGAAATCATGACATCTGGCTACAACCCCTTCTGTATTGTTATTTAAAGATGGCTTGTGGGCTTTCCTCTATCAATTCAGATAGCTCTACCTAGTCTGCCCCCAACCCATATACTAGGAGCAGCTCCACCTGGCCACATACTGGCAAAATGGCCCTTGTTGGGAGGGGTAACTATCTATACTTACTAACTATACTATTACTAGGGAGGGGTAACTATACTTACTTCATACCCAGAAAGAGTGTGGGGGATTCAGTGGATTAAAAAAAAAGTCGTGGGTTTGGGGAGGTACCATTACTGTTACCCCATTCCACCAAAATAAGATGTCTGCCTCATCTAACTTACAGCCGGGCCCCATGCTGATGGGTGACCCATTATGGATTTGTACCATCTGCTTAAAAATAGTTCTTCACTTGAAAAGGTCCAGGCTCCCAACAAACTTTTTGTCTAGTTTTCTTCAGGCCTCCAAAGAAGGCCCTGGGGTCTAGGCTACCCTGGGCTGATGATCAGCAGGCTTATGTGCAGTGGTATTCTACCTCACCTGACTACAATATAAAAAGTGTCCAGCATACATTTTCCATAATTCTCAGGGTTTCTGGGACCACTGGAGCTCAAAGCTGTTCCTGAGGAAACAGAAATGTAGATTAAGACCCTTTTTTTCAGGTGTTTAGTGGCTCTCTCCTATAATCCTAAGGGGCTGAGATCTGAGAATTTTGGTTGAAAGCCAACCTGAGCAGACAAATCCATGAGACTCTTATGTTAACCAGCAACCCCCCCAACCAAAAACCAGAACTAGAGGTGTGGTTCAGGTGGTAGAGAACCAACTGTGATTGGGAAAGTTGAGCAAGAGTCAAAGGGCTTCAGTTCACCCTCCAATACTGGTATTAAAAGAAAAAAAGACTCTTTTCTGATTTCATTATTTTAAGCTTTGTGGAATCTGCCTCATAGCCTGCTACTTGCAATAATAGATTCAAGGCAGCAACTATGTTTTACTTGCTTTTGAAAACTGATCAGCCTTGGGCTATGGGAAGGTCTTTATATAATCTCCATAATATTCAATAAAAATCAGCCCCATAACAGACCAAAAAAAAAAAAAAAGAGAGAGAGAGACAGAGTGCCAGTCATGAGCAAAATAGCCAAAGCTGGCATTGGTAGCTTACACTTATAATTCTAGCTACTCGGGAGGGTGAGATCTGAGGATCACAATTCAAAGCCAGCTCCAGGCAGGAAAGTCCTGAGACTCTTATCTCCAATTAATCACAGAAAAAAGCTGAAAGTAGTCTGTGGCTCAAATGGTAATGCTATTCTTGAGCAAAAAGGAGTTCAGGGCAGGACAGGTATAAAAATTAAAAATTATGTTTAACACACACACACTCATAGTTCCTATTCTCCAGAAACAAAAGCTCTGGACTATAAGGCTGTATGACTTGTAGATGTGCACTGAAGCAGAAACAAACAAAAAACTAGAAATCTGCTCTGGTGTGGTGGCTCAACCTGTAAGCTTAGCACTCTGGAGGCTAAAGAAGGTGTTTGAGGCCAGCCTGGGCTTTATCACAAATATGCCTCAAAAGCAAAAAACAGGGCTGGAGTCTTGGTTTACGTGGTACAGCACCTGGCTAGCAAGTGTGAAGCCTTGAGTTCAAACCACTAGTATCACAAAACTTAGAAATCTGAATATTTATTAAAGGGGGAATGACTGGATACATCAATAGTGGGGAATATTATGCAGCAAGCATATAATAAATTAGATCTTTATGGATTTGTTTTGTTTTCCAGTACTGGAGTTTGAGCTCAGGGCCTGTGTGCTATCCCTTAGCTTTTCTGTTCAAAGCTAGTGCTCTACCACTGGAGCCAGAGTTCTACTTCCAGTTTTTGTGGTGGTTAATTGAAGATGTGTCTCACATACTTCCATGCCCAAGATGGCTTCAAACCTAGTTCCTTAGACTCGACTCCTGACTAGATAGAATTACAGGCGTGAGCCTCTACCACTTGGCCTGACCAATAGTTTTTTTTTAATTATAAAGGTGATATAGAGGTTAGTTACCTAAATCAGGTAAAGAGTACTTTTCTGATTAATAGGTTTTTTGTTTGTTTTTGTTTTTGTCAGTTGTGAGGCTTGAACTTGGCCTGGGCGCTGTCCCTCAGCTCTTCAGCTCAAGGCGAGCACTCTACTGCTTGAGCCACTGCACCATTTCCAGTTTTTTAGTTATTTATTGGAGATAAGAGTCTCATGGACTTTCCTTCCCGGGCTGGCCTTGAACTGTGATCCTCAGATCTCAGCCTCCTGAGTAGCTAGGATTATAGGTGTGAGCCACCGGCACCCGGCTTCAATAGGCTTTACTATGGAGGGATGCGCACAAAATATTTTGTTAACTGAAAAAAAAAAAAAAAAGCAACCTTCAGTAACTTGCATTTCATTTTATTTTTGTCAGTCCTGGGGCTTGAACTCTGGGCCTGGTCTCTTCAGCTCAAGGTGAGTACTCTACCACTTGAGCCACAGCACCACTTCCAGTTTTCTGGTAGTTAATTGCAGATAAAGAGTCCCATGGTTCTGAATACACAGATAAAATGTTTTTATTCCTAAAAAAAAAAAGAGTCTCACGGGCTTTCCTGCCTGGGCTGGCTTTGAACCTCGTTCTTCAGATTTCAGTTTCCTGAGTAACTAGGATTACAGGTGTTAGTCACCCGCACCTGGCTTCATTTTATTTTTATTTGCCTGGTCCTGGGGCTTGAATTCTGGCCCTGGACGCTGTCCCTGAACTCTGCACAAGCTGAGCACTCTACCACTTGAGCCTCAGTACCACTTCCAGCTTTTTCTGAGTAGTTTATTGCATAAAAGTCTCATACTTTCCTGAGGTTGAGGATTTCCTTCTGCCTCCTATGGTATATCTGCAGAAAGATGGTCTTCCTCCGCCTGTTCTGTGGTCTTCCTTCACTTGCTTCACAAGGCCTTTGTATGGTAAGTATTATTATTTCTTTTTCAAAAAAGTAAATTCCTTGTACTGACCGGTATAGATCCAGGGGTTTTCCTTTCTTCCCTCCTCACTTAGATTTATTGTCCCCAGTAGATGGAGTCCTCTGTACTGCTTGAAAGGATCCAGAGTACTTTTCTCCTTCTCCAAAAGGGAAGTGCCTCTGAGGTTGTTTTGCCCCCAAGAGACAGGGCAAATACTATCATACTGGGCGAGTACTAATAGCAAAGCAGCTAAATCCTATAACCCATACAGGACAATCTCACCTTCTCCCCATTGCAGAGAACTTCCATAACCAAAATGTTAATTGTGCTGAGGTTGAAAAACTGGCTTAGAGAAAGGAAAAAAAGAACTACCACTAAGTCTTTTCCTTATGACTTACTGAAATATGTATTTATTTTCACAGCTAAATATTATAAAGTAAAATATTCTCAATAAAGTTTTATTGTTTTGGCAGAGACAATGATGAAACAAAAGGAGGTAGATTGTTCCTGCTGCCTCACCATATAATATAACCATCCATTCCAGGCTATACAGTGGGAAATTAAGTTCAGGCTTGTTTCTCACTCATATAGATTTCCCTAATAATGGAGGAGGTCCCTGGGAACTGGCCTAGCTAAGTCTATTACATCCCTCTGCCTCTTAATCTCCTCCCTCAGCCTTCTCCCACAATCACCTTAGAACTTCAGGAAGGACAAGATTAACAGATAAACATCTGTGGTTGCCCTTTAAAAATACAATGCTTTCTTCTTCCTAGGGCATAACCTACCTAGGACAGATAGGGACAACTGGAATGGCAGTCCTTTTCAATTTGCCTCAACTGACTTCTTTGTGCCTGCAATCCTAGCTACTCAGGCTGAGATAGGAGGATCAAGATTCAAAGTCAGCCTAGGCAATAGCGTCTGAGGCTCTTATCTTCAATTAACCACCAAAAACCAAAAAGTGGAACTGTGGCTCAAGTGGTAGAGCACCAGCAGTGAACAAATAAAGCTAAAGAACAGCACCCAGGCCCTGAGTTCAAGTCCCAGTACTACCAGCATAAATAGACAAATAAAATAACCTCTTTGGTCAGAGGCAGCTTGGGCCTATATATGCTCTCTAAGAAATAAATTTACTAAAAATTACTTGATGCTATTATAGACCAGGGCTCAGTAAGGCAATGTGAAAATTCAAGCATTAAAGTACAACTGAAGGGATTTTCCACCTGGTAAGGAAAAGGCTAAACTGCATGTGGCTAAATTGTTTTAGGGATCTACTGACAATATGAACAAAGAGACAGGGCCCAGGGAAGGGGCCAAGTTTTGCACACTTGTAAGCCAAAGGGAGCTACGGACGATATCTACTGCTTTACAGAGAACTCTTTGGTCAGTTCTGACTCTGCTTTCCATAATCAACTATCCTTCCTCCCCCTCCCCTCCTCTCTACCCTCGGCTAATCGCCTCATGGAGTGGAGCATCCCTTCTATACACATCCCTGAAGCCACTGAACACCTCGTCAATGTACATCCCCAAAGGCCGTGGACACCCCATCAACAAACATCTCCGCAGGCTTTAAGTTGCAAGGGTCCGGGCCCAGCCCTGAAGGCTCAGCCCGGGCCGCCACATCCCACGGAACACCTGCGGGAGGTCCTGGGGTCCCAGCTGCAGTTAAGGCGGGACAGACCCCGATTTCCCATCCTAACCACAAACACAGTGGTCTTCCGGCGCTCACTCCAGGTCTGTATTATTTGCGGTCCAGCTAAGTGTCCAGACGGAGATCTTTCTGTTTACCGGGCTCGACTGCCAGGTCAAACCGAAGGCACTCACAACGTTGTTGGGACGGAGCGGCCGAAAGCGCTTCACCGCGCGTCATCCAGCAGATGGCTAGCCGCGGGGGACAGGCGAAACCAGGCAGGCACCAAACACCAAGCCCGGCCCAGCCACGTGAACAGCCAGGCGCCCCCGAAGTAGGAAACGGAAACGCACTGAGGGGCGACCCAGGCCCGCCCCCCGGAAGTCCCGCCCAGCTCCCGAGCGTGTTCCCGGAACTGCAGCTGTTAGTCGCGGGCGCTATGGCTTCAAGGTTACTTCGCGGAGCCGGAGCGCTGGCCGCGCAGGCCTTAAAGGCCCGTGCTCCCAATGGAGCGCCTGTGGTGCGCTCCATGGCGTCTAGAGGTACTTGGTCCGTCGGGCGCGCCCGGAACCGGCGTCGTGGGCCCCTTGGGTGGTGGGTGGTGGGCCGGCAAAATGGGGTCGGCCGTTCCCCTCCCCGGGCTCCTCTGCCCTGCTCCCGGCCCCGAGAACTCTCGGCCCCACCGGCTCTCGCTGTGGTTCCGGGCTGCAACAACCGCCGCCGCCGCCAAGCCGACCCTACTGTGGACCGTGCCCTAACTAGAGGGTGCTGGGTGACCTTGATGGGCCGGGGCCGCCGCTAGTACCGGACCGGCCTAACGGTCCCGTAAACCTTTGCTCACCCCAAACGGAAGGGGCTCTGGTTGGCTTGATCAAAACAAAACAAACGGGAAAAATGGTGTCGGTGGTTGGAGCACCATCACGCTTCTCCGCCACGCTTGCCACTAGGCAATTATGACTTAGAGGACCATGAGTTATCAGTGGGTTTTTTAAAAGAGCGCCATGAGTTCACCAAAACGCGAACGTTTACCGATTCCGTGTGTGTGTGTGTGTGTGTGTGTGTGTGTTTAAATCATGATCATGTCTGTTGGTCACGTGTATTCCTTTAGGTGGTGTTCCTACTGATGAGGATCAGGCTACTGGACTGGAAAGGGAGATCATGATGGCCAGGCAAAAGGGACAGGTGAGGACAGATTCTCTGCTATGTCCTCTGTGGAGCCCGCGGTCTTGGGTGGGATAAACAGTAGTGTCTCCATGGGAGCATATGATCCTAGAAACCTGATTTGTAGGAAAAGCCACCCTGTACTTATAGGCTGGGGGTGGGCAGAGATTGTTTAGCGTTAATTGCTCAATTCTTTTTTTCCAGGACCCTTACAATATATTGGCCCCCAAAGTAGCTGCAGGCACCAAGGAAGACCCTAATTTGGTTCCATCCATCAGCAACAAGAGGATAGTGGGCTGCATTTGTAAGTACCTCATGTCTATTTTCTGTTTAATACAGGATGTTGCTTCAAGAGTTTTGTGTGAGCCTGGGTGCTGGTGGCTCATGCCTGTAATCCTAGCTATACAGGATGCTGCTTCAAGAGTTTTGTGTGAGCCTGGGTGCTGGTAGCTCATGCCTGTAATCCTAGTTATGCTGGAGGCTGATAGCTGAGGATCCTGGTTCAGAGCCAGCTTGGGCAGAAAAGTCTGTGAGATGCTAATCGCCAATTAACCACCTAAAAACCTGAATGTGGTGTTGTGGCTCAAAGTGGTAGAGCTTGCCTTGAGCAAAATTGCTCAGGGACAGCACGCAGGCCTCAAATTCAAGTCCCACAACCAAAAAAAGGAAAAAGTTTTGGGTATGTATATGTAATTGAGTTCTAAGGGTTTTGGTCTTCCGAAGCCTTATCATGCATGAGTAGATCATCTTATCGAAAAGATATGTAGAACAGCCACAAAAATGGCCAGAAATGAGTCATGAAGAAATAGTCATCCAGATAATATTTATGATTATACTTCTCTTATGCATAGAAGGATGCATACTGGTATGGACCTTGCTTTTAAATTTCCTGGTAGTCCTGGAAGAAATTCAGTTTACTCATAGGTAAAGTCAAGCCTGCAGTTTCTTTGTTCGAGGACGAAAGAGCTTGAACTGACAATCATAAGTGAGGGAAGGAGATTAATATTGAAACTCTCCCTTTTTAAGCTGTGTGACCTTCAGTTAACCTTTGTTCCTTTCAGGTGAAGAAGACAACTGTACTGTCATCTGGTTCTGGCTGCACAAAGGGGAAACTCAGCGATGCCCAGGTTGTGGAAGCCACTACAAGCTGGTATCCCACTAGATGGGCCACTGAACCCCATACTGATGTTCTTAGAATGTGCTGTAAAGTTTCTTCTTCACAATAAAGACTAGCCATTGCATTGGCTCCTCCCATAGGTGGCTAGTCTTTTGTTGTTTGGGGTAGGCATATGTGATTTGTATATTGTAAATTGCTATTTTTCAATATGAGCTTGTCATCAACTTAAAAGTGTGTAACTGCTGCAGTCTTTAATAATAATAGATTGGATACTAGGAATATAACTCAGTGGTAGACGTCTTGCCTAGTATACATGAGGCCTTGGGTTTAATTCCTAGCACTGCTAAGTAAGTTATTTTAAAAAATAGAGTCAGCTGCACACTGGTGGCTCATGCATGTAATCCTAGCTACTCAGAAGGCTGAGTTTGAAACCAGCTTGGGCAGACTCTCTAGTTAACTGAAAAAAGCCAGAAGTGGGAGTTGTGGCTCAAGTGATAGAGCTGTTCTTGAACACACAAGCCCAAGGACAGCATCTGAGCCCTGAGTTCAAGACCAGGACTGGCACACACAAAAAAAGATTGGGGATATAGCTCAAAGGTAGTGTACTTAGCATGTATGAAGCCCTTGGTTCAATACCAGCACGTACACAGTTAGACACACACCCCCACCCAATAATAATAATAATTACATAATGTGATGAGTGAGACCACCTGGCACAGGGGAAAAGGATGTGCTGTGGAATCTGGCTCCATTATTTGATGTGACCATGGGCATGATCTGTGGTTGGTTATACCTACAGAAAAGATACTTTGTGTGGTTTCAAGAGGTAAAATGTGTAAACAGCTTGGAAGGTAGTAAGTCCTCTTGGCGTCATAGGGGACAGAGTGGCCTTGCCAGAAGTGCTTTGGGAACTTTGAAGTCTTGAGGGATCAGGTTCAAAGCAAGAGTTCATGGGGATAACAGCAGCAACATCCAGAATAGGGGATGGTTCTAGAAATGAAAGACCAGGTTTCTTTAAATAAACTGCAAATAGAGGGGGGAAAATCATAGGGGGAAGTGAGAAAAGACAAATCGCAGTGTGTGGCTGGTTGGATCTTGATTGTTGTGTTAGGAATTTAACACTAGGGTCTTATGCATGTTAGGGAAAGGCTGTGCCACTGAGTAATCTCTGGCCTTGATTATTGATTTCAATCTCCCTGACATTGCAGTGGGTACTATACCTATCTCCATGGCTCTTGTTGAATAAATTCTGGCTTGTCAAGTTTAGAAAGAAATGAAGGAAAAGAAAAAGGAAGAGAATGGAACTGCATATAGTAATAGCTTCTGTAGTTGTACCTGGGAAGTCACTGTGGAAGGATCACATAGGATCCTCCCAGGAGTTTGAAGCCAGCCTTGGCAACATAGACCATGTCTCAAAAGAAGAAAAAAAAAGGAACATTTAATATTTGGACATTAAGTTTTAGGTGTATTTATAGGAGGCTTTTTTTTTCTGCTTTAGAAATACATTTTTAAAAATTCACTATAGTTGTAGTGTGGCAGACAAGTTCTCAATTTTTTTTCTTCTGTAAAATAGAAATGCCTTTTTTGTTGTTGTTGGTTGTAGGACTTGAACTCAGGGCTTGGGTGCTGTCCCTGAGCTCTTTTGCTCAAGGGGACTTTCTTGCCTTGGCTGGGTTTGAACTGCAATCCCCAGATCTCAGCTAGGATTACAGGTATGAGCCACCAGTGCCTAGTAGAAACACCTTTTGATTTTTTTGTGGAGATTAGCCAGAGGTGGCTTCAGTAACTATTTACAATATTGGTTCAAACTAGACGTTTTGTGTTTGAATTCATGATAGGAGAGTGACTTGAGACAGGTCCTTCCCCCCAAATCTTGCTTGCCTGTTTTAAAGGTATGTTCCAAGCTACTGTTTCCATTCCTTGCTGTCATCTCTACTTTCAGAAAGCGCCCAAGCACTGGTTTGTCACTGAGGCCTTTTCTTCCTGAAAGGGAAACCCTTAGATGGCTGTGAATCTAACTTAATCTTGCACCATAAAACCTTAAAGTTTTCCACTATCTTGAAGACTATCCAATGCTATTGGTAAGTCTGCCTTTCCCTGTACATTTTTCCCTTATAGTCCCAACTGCTTATGGTGAGCTTTGACTAAACCAAACCAGCTTCCTCGTCTCAAAAGTCTTCCTTCGTTTCCCTCTTAAGATTCTCTTATTAGCACATATTCTATATAGGGGGCGGTGTTTCAATACATTTCCATACATACAATGAACACCTATCAAAATCATCTATCTCTCATACTCCTTTCCCCTACTTAGGACAGTATCAACAGATTATTGTTTTATATATGCATATAAAGCACTTCTACCATATTCACCTTCATTGACCCTCCCTCTGTGTGGCTGGTAACTGTCCCACAATATACATAGCCTGTCTTACTTTCCTGTCATTCATTTATTTTTACCACAGTAATTCACATGCATATATTAAAGTTTAGATTAACCTTGTATGTTGCTATTTCCTGGGGTCCCTCCATCCCCCTATTTTTTAATAGTTGTCAGTGAATTTCAGTCAATATTCCTTAAGTCTAGATTCTGCAAATGAGTAAAAACATGCTCAAATGCTGGCGAGGATGTGGGGAAAAGGAACTCTCATATACTGTTGGTTGGAATGTAAACTAGTGCAACCACTGTGGAAATCAGTATAGAAGTTTTACTAAAAAGTAAAATGGGCTGGGTGCTGGTGGTTCATGCTTATAGCTAGTCAGGATTCTGAGATGGGAGGATCACAGTTCAAAGCCAGCACAGACAGGAAGATCCATGAGACTCTCATCTCCAATAAACTATTCAAAAAAAGTTGGAAGTGGTGCTGTGGCTCAAGTGGTAGAGCACAGAGTCTCAAGGATAGGACCTGAGTTCAAGCCCCAGGATGGGAAAAAAAAAAAGACAACAAAAAACTAAAGTGGGTCTACTTTATTATGACCTGTCATGCCACTTGAGTATATGTTGAAAGGGAAGCAAATGTACATGAAAGCTCGTATTTACTGTAGCTCTGTTTACAATAACCAAACAGCAGAATCAGCTGACATGTCTTACAACTGATGGGTAGGAAAAAAATATGGTAATAGTGGAAACAGCTTAAGTGGTAGGGCACCAGCTGGGAACAAAAAAGCCCAGCAAGGGCTTAAGGCACTAAATTTAAGACCTGGTACAGGGTTGGCATGTGTAATATAGCTAAAATGAATTATAGCTACAGATAGAATTGAGGTTGCTAATCATTGACCCTAAAATAGGGAGACTTGGATTATCTAGGTAGTCTCAATAAACACAAAGAAGGCAGAGAAAGAAATATGTCAACATAAGCCACAGAGATGTGATACTGCTGGCTTTGGAGATGGGAAAGGGGCTTTGAACCAAGGAATCCAAGTAGCCTGTAGAAGCTGAGAAAAGCAAGATAGATGAGAAACCCTACAGTGTCTTGGACTGCAAACTAGGGACACTCATTCTGGACTTCTACAAAACCATATAATACATTTAAATTTTAAGCCACTATGTTTGTGATTAACTTTTATAGCAGCAATAAGAAGTTAACATAGGGACCAATGAATTCACCTCTCACTCCCTGGGAGAGTAGGTCTTCAATATTAGCTATAGTATTAGAACCATTTGGGGATCTTTTACAAATCCCAGTACTCTGGCATATCCAGACTACTGAATCAGAGTATATGGAATAGGATCCAGACATCAGAACTTCAGATTTCCCCTGTGTGCTTCCAATTTCGAGAATCTATGCTTTGATCATCATGTGCACTGAATAGATCATTTCCTTTCGTTTTGGTAACCGACAGCTTTTGGATCGGAGAGGAAAGAGAATGTACTCTGCTGAAAGGACAGACCTTTGCTCCTATGTGGAAGTGAGCTCCATCTGAATTTTGAGCCATTTACAGTTAGAAATTGGATACCATTTCCCCTCACCAAGGAAGAACATAGGCCTCAGTCTAACGGCATTTACTAAATGATTGGCATGTGCACAATAAAGAACGTTTTTCAAGGACTACTTGAGAGAAAGTTGAACTATACACCTATCATATTTAAATGTGTACTTAAATTCTCTGTCTCCAGAGTATGACCATCAAAAGTACAACTGATGCAGAACTCTAGGCATTCACATACAGAGAAACCAAAGGAGGATACTCTTAGAGGAGGAACACAGAGGCACAATGGCTCTGTTCCTCTGATCATATAAACTAATATTTATCAGTTGGGTGCTGGTGGCTCATGCCTATAATCCTAGCTACTCAGGAGGCTGAGATCTGAGGATCATGGTTTGAAGCCAGCCTAGGCAGGAAAATCATATTCTTATCTCCAATTAATCCCCAAAATTCCAGAAGTAGAGCTGTGGATCAAGTGGTAGAGTGCGAACCTTGAACATAAAAGTTTAGGGACAGAGTCCAGGTTCTGAGTTCAAGCCCAGGACTGGCACAAGATAAAAAAAAATATTTATTGAAATGAATTCCAGGGAATTTTGTTTATCTGTATTTTTTTGTGGGGGGGTAAGGAAGGCACAGAAAAGGAGGGACAAAGGGTGAACAACTGCAGCAATGGTACTCACTAGATACACTGTTGAAAATGAACTATACAAGTGTGGGCAAGGACTGGAGGGAAAAACTAGGAGAAAGCAAGAGAAGGGGTGGCACTGTCTAAAAAGAAATGTACTCATTAGCCAGGCACTGGCTGCTCACATCTGTAATTCTAGCTACTCAGGAAGCTGAGATGGGAGGATCAAAGTTCAAAGCCAGCCTAGGCAGGAAAGTCCATGAGACTCATCTCTAATCACATTAAAAGTAAGAAGTAGAGCCATGGCTCAAGTGGTAGAGTGCCAGCCTTGAGCAAAACAGAGCTGAGGGACAGTGCCCAAGCCTAGAGTTTGAGCCCCAGGGCAGAAAAAAAAAGTTGTAAGTCACTACTTATGCAATGGTAATCCCTCTGTACATCACCTTTATAACAACAATTTAAACAAAGTACAGTTCTAATCACGTAATCCTCAGAGCCTATTTAAGGTTCACTAAATGTTCCAAGGTCATTTATAGCAAAGGATCATATGTGCCTTTAGTTGTCATGTAGAGACAGTTCCATCTCCTGACCCTGACAACCAACAACTTGGGTTTGCCTGTTTTGTGAATGGCTTCAGCTTCTGCATCTTGGACTAGTACCACCAACTTGTCCTTGTGTTTATGGGGTGTGTGTGTGTGCGTGTGTGTGTACTGATACTGGGGCTTGAACTCAAGGCCTAGAAGCTGGTGTGTGTGCGTGTGTGTGTACTGATACTGGGGCTTGAACTCAAGGCCTAGAAGCTGTCCCTTAGCTTTTTGCTCAAGGCCAGCACTCTACCACTTGAGCCATAGTTCCATGTCTGGCTTTTTAGTTGTTAACTGGTGATGAGTCTCCTGACCACTACTGCTCAGGCTGGCTCTGAACTTTGATCCTCATAACGCAATCTTCTGAGAAGCTAGGATTATAGTTATGATGAGAAGCTAGGATTATAGTTATGAATCACTGGCACCCAGCTTTCAGCTTGGATTTTTGTTTGTTAAGATGAAGTGTCAAGGACTTGTCTACCCAGGCTGGCCTAGAACCTCAAGCCCGGCTAGATCATTTCCCTCTTATTCCAGAGTGACAGGTCATGAAGAGAAAGGATTTGAGTGCAATGTGAGATCTGAACTTGGGAAAGGATTTTGCAGAAAGCCAACAAAATCCTGATAAGGTCTGCTGATCAGTAGTTCTATATCAATGTTAATTTCCTAGCTTCAGTGATTGCTATGGTAATAGCTGAACAGTTGATAGGGAAAACTGGGTAAAAGATAAACAGGAACACTTTGTAACTAATAGGAAAGTACTTTTGCAATTTTTCTGTAAGTCTAAAATTTTTTCACAATTGGAAAAAAAAAATGAAAACAGTCATGTACCAGTGGCTCACACTTTTAATCCTAGCTACTCAGGAGGCTGAGATCTGAGGTTCAAAGCCAGCCCAGGCAGGAGAGACTGTGAGACTCCTATCTCCAATAAACCACCAGAAAACCGGACGTGGCGCTGTAGCTCAAGTGGTAGAGTGCTCGCCTTGAGCTGAAGAGCTGAGGGACAGCGCCCAGGCCCAGAGTTCAAGCCCCATGACCGACAAAAAAAAAAAAAAGAGGGAAATGATCTATAAATTTTAGTTGGGATTTGCTCACTGCCAGTAGGCCCCTCATTAAATGTGTTCTGCAGGAAGACCATAGGAAATCTGGGCTCCTCTTAGTGTAAGAGACAGTGGCTTCTAACTGGAACTATAAACTCTGGTCATTTGGTTAAGGTAGGTAGTATTTACTAGGTTTCTTCTATACCATAAAGTGACAATTTTTCCTTATGCAATCAGAGTAAATACTTTGTGGAGAGTCAGTGCAAACATGCATATTATACCAATTTTTGCATTTTTTTTACCTGCAACGACTGTTGTATTCACCCAAAAGCTTTTTTGCTCAAGCCTAGTGCTTTAATACTTGAGCCACAGCTCCATTTCTGGCTTTTTTTGGGTAGTTAACTGGAGATACTGACTTTCCTGTCCCAGCAGGCTTTGAACTCTAATCCACTGATCTCAGACTTCTGTGTATCAACCATTAGCAGCTGGCTAATAGCAGCTTTCTTTTCCCATTATTTTTTCATTAATTTTGTTTCTACTAATAGATGTTCCTTTCCCCCTGTGTATGTATTTCTTTAGCCTTTTATATCAGTAAGTCCTGGTCATCCCAGCTCACTCCTCACTTCCTAACTTCTCTGAGCTGAGGACTTTGTACCACTGTTGGCACCAGGCTGCCTCAGTTCATCTGAGCAGGGCATGAACAGGTGCTCAAATGTGACCTGTGAAAATTTTGCTGTATGATTTTTTAATTTAATTTGGTCCCCATGTCCTATAGACAACTTGTTTTTGTTGTTTTTGTGCCAGAGCCTAGGTGCTATCTCTGAGCATTTTTGCTCAAGGCTAGCACTACCACTTGAGCCACAGCTCACTTCCAGCTTTTTGGTGGTTAATTGGAGTTAAGAGCCTTAACAGCGTTCCGGTCTGGCTGCTTTTGAACCTCAATCCTAGATCTCAGTTCCCTGAGTAGATAGGATTGTAGGTATAAATCACCCAGTGCCTTGCTAACTTATGTTTTTTTTGGTGCTTATAGTATAGCCACAAAATATTCTAGGCACATCTTGTATTTCATTTTATAGGGAATTAAAGAATGGTATTCAGAAACTAAGATCTGTACTCAGTGTTACTGGAGTGCTGTGCTTCTAGAGTTTTCTAGTAGACAGGGCTAGGAAATGCATGTATATATTTTAACCCTGGTGCCCACAAATAGATGTGCATTTATTCCAGCTTCTGCTTGTATATATAAAGAACCATGACTTCATACAACTTCCAGTTCCACCCCAACACAAGGTTTATTCTAGCCATTTACCTTCCTTGACTGCATGCTTTTCTCCAATAGAAGCCGGGTAGAAACTGAGCTCTTTAAGCAGGCTATCCCTGGTGGAAAGTGTAGAAGGATGCTTTGCCTTCAAGGACAGGATTTTGACAGATGTAAGGGAAAAGCATTCTTGTGGAAAGGATGGTGTAAACAAAGGATGGCAGGCAAAGCAGGACACAGAATGGAGAAGCCTAAATAACGGAGGGAAGGAATAGGTTTCATGGAGCTGGACAGTGTGTGTAAGTTCATAAAGGTGATTTTATCAGCCAATTAAGTGGAGAATTGCTTGACTGATGTAAGAAGGGGGTGACTAGAGCATGAGGTCTGAAAGTAAAAAGACTGAGCAAGTGAGAGAATGGACATGGTCATGAGCTAGGTTGGTAGAAGCCCTAATGGAAAAGCACGGGTAGGAAAGGTCCTCTACAGGACCACAAACTTGTGACTGACACAGTGTGGGAGGAAAGTAGAAAAAGGGAGTCAAAGCTTTAAAATGTAGGTGGTGGGGATTCAGTGATAACTTGAACAGAACCCTGCAGGGAAGAGCTAGTCTACAAGGACCCCTAATGTAGGGTCTTAAATGAACTGATACTATACTGTGATTACAAGGCTTCACAAAAGCCTGGCACAGACATATTTCTCCCCTCCTACCTGAACTCAGATCTAGGCCCTTCCTTGGCCCCCAACCCAATTGCCTTTAACACTGGGCTCTGGCCATCATCTTCCCATAGCTGGCTGCCTGTCATCTAGGATATATCTAAATATCCAGGGCCTCCCTGTACTGGCCCACCCAACCTTTCATTTGTCACACTGGGCAGCAGCAGAGCACTAGCCTTTCCCTGCTGACTTGTCCTCTCCAGCACCTCTGCCCCAGGCAGCAACTTGAGCTCTGACCTCTGCCTAAAACCTTTCCACCCTGGCTCAGCCCTGGACCCTTTCAAGTACACGCCTCATTTATTGGCTTAGATGCCTGTGCTTCTGGCCCACTCAGCTCTGTATTGGGTTTGGAGTGTTTTCCTCCTGATACTTGTTGGGCAGGAACAGATTCTTGCTTACCACTGGCCCCCAAACACATGGTATCTTCCCAGTCACACTGTTGGTATTCAAAAGGAAAGGAGGAGCAGAACCTCTTAACAAATCACTCGTCTACCTTCAGAATCCTTCCTGCTTGTTCTCATCCTCTTCCTGTGGAGCAGGCTCACTCACTGCCCACTATCTGGCCTCCCTTGCTTGTCCTGATTTCTGAGCTGATGAACCTGCATCAACACTGGCACTAGTGGTGCCTCAGCCATCTGAGCAAGTGCTCAAACAGGGGAAGATAAGACGCACACAGCTCTGTCCAGGAGGAAGGTAGCCTTATTTTCAGTTTTCCCTTGGTGGGTGCCAACAAGGAGGTAAGGAGTGGGGAGTTATGCTCCAGGGTGAGCCCTCTCCTGGGGCCTCCCATGCCACATTGCCCTGCCAACCACGGAAGGCCTCATACTCCCGAGTTACAGCCAGTGCCTCGCTGTGTTCCCTCCCATCCCTTCGAAGACCCCAGGGACAGGTGAGCAAACAGCACATAGAACCATAAGAAAACAGTCACACATTGGCCTTGTCCATAATTATTACTATAATTAATGATTTACAAAAAAAGGTTCTCTTCAGGCAACTGTGTTAAATTATTGTACATTTCTGGGGGAGGGTGGTAGGGCCCTGGCCACAGTGAAGACCCTTTTCTTGAGAGAGGCAAGAAGGAAATGCTCCCCTCCTTGGGTCTGACTCCTGATTAAGTGGCTGTCCTTCAACAAATGAAGATGATTAACCCTTTCCCACCCAGGGCACTAGGGTAAAGAAGAGGAGCAGCAAGTCAATGAAATGCTTCGAAGGGGCGAATGTGACAAACCACGAGCTGTGGCTGGCTGTGGCTGTCCATGGCTCTGATGCTCTGACCCTGGATCACATCTCCTTGCTAGGGATGTAGGACTGCCCAGTATTCAGCCCTACACAAAGGCATATGCCCATCAAGACAAGGGGGGAAAGAGTATGCAAAAGGGTCTGAGTGGCCCTTGAGTCAGGAAGAGGTGGCATGAGACACACTGATGTGTGTCACCGCGCCTATGGGAGAGCTCCTCCTTCAGCCTGCTCCCCAGACAGACCAGACACTGGCCCCGAGTGGGAACTTGTCAGACAAAATGGGGCATCAAGGAGTCTGGTCTTGGAGCTTGGGGAAGTAGCTCTGAGAGTCAGAGCAAGAAGGACAGGCCTAACAGACCCTGCTGAGGGGAATACCTGATACTGGGCTTCTCAATCCCTATGCTCCAGCTCTAGACTGCCATCCATGCAGTTAAATGTTACTGTGTATGTGTGCGTGCACGCATGTGGGGGGAGGGCTGCAGGAGAGCACTTCTGTACCACCTGCCCACGGGGCTCAGGGCATGCAGAAGCCTAAGCCTAGAATGTGAGCCCAGATCTAAAGGGCAAAGGCTCACATTTCCCTTTCTTCCTGTCCCCTCCAACATGTTCCACCCTCTTTGGGCATTAGAAGGTTTTGCGATGAATAGCACGGGAACCATCCTCTTCATACTCCTTTTTGGATACCCACATCTTCTTAAAAGTATCCAGCGAGGCCAAGATGGAACCACTGCAAGGATGGAGGCACGGTATCTTTGTGGATCTGTGGGCAGAGCCAACTGCCCTCCCTAGGTACTTGGAGTTACTACCCCCTTACCTGGGAGAGAAATCTACCCACCTCCACCTAGCCTGGGCCAACCCTGGGAGAAGTGTCCAGGGCAAAATGATCTCTTCCCAGAGCCCTCCCCTTGCGCCCCATCTCACCCGATCCACGTAGAGTACAACCGTTCCTGAGGAGCTGAGATCTAAAAGGAGCAAATGGTCATGTAAATGCGCCATCTTCACACAGCAGCTGCCCTCCTACCCAGGGCCAAGGGCAGGCAACAAGGGATGAAGGGGAGGAGAAAAAGCAACTGGACAAGGAGGGGAGGGCTGGGTGGATACTGAAAGTGAGAGGGGTTATGGAGGTGGCTCACCATCCTCCTCAGCACCTCTTGCCTAGGGGCATCTCTAAAACCTTACCTTTATTTTAACGTCCTTAGGGGCAAGCTTCTTTACTTCACTTAATAACCGGTCACCGAAGCCTGTGAATCAGGATGGTAAAAGCTGTGGCCTACATCTGGTTTCCTTGCCATACCTTCCCATACCTAACTCCCAGTCACCCCATTTATTACCACTCATCTTTCTTTCTTTCTTTTTTTTTTGGTCCAGTTGTGGAGCCTGAACTCTAGGCCTATTCACTGTCCCTCAGCTCTTCAGCTCAAGGCTAGCGCTCTACCACTTGAGCCACAGCACCACTTCCAGCTTTTTTCATTTTGCTTATGTGGTGCTGAGGAATCGAACCCAGGGCCTCAGACATGCAAGGCAAGCGCTCTACCACTGAGCCATCTTCCCAGCCCATACCACTCATCTTTCAAAAGGGTAAGGGAGAGAGATTCAGCATCCTGGCTATGAGTGGGAAGGTGTGGCTTCTTCAGAGAGGTGATATGAGATGAAATCCCAAAGAACAGGGCTCTTCCATTCCAAAACCCTTCCTAATTGAACACTCTACCGTAAATATATTACTTAAATTAAGTACAATGATTGTAGGGAAGCGTTCTATCACTCAAACCACGCTCTAGTCCCTTTGTGTCTAATTTGGTTCTCTTTTTGTGTGCCTATACTAGGACTTGAACTCAGGGCCTAGCACTCTCCCTTGGATTTCTCAAGGCTGGTACTCTACTACATGAGCCACACCTCCACATCTGCTTACTGCTGCTTAATTGGAGATAAGGGTCTCATGGGCGCGCGTGCGTGCGTGTGTGTGTGTGTGTGTGTGTGTGTGCAGGCTGGTCCTGATTTTTGAAGTCAGAGCATGGGCACTGTCTCTGAGCTTTTTTGCTCAAGGCTAGTGCTCTGCCACTTGAGCTACAGCTCTACTTCTGGCTTTTTGGTGGCTAATTAGAAAAAGGAGTCTCACAGACTTTCCTGCCCAGGCTGGTGCTGAACTGTGATCCTCAGGTCTCAGCCTCCTGAGTAGCTAGGATTATGGGTATGAGCCACCAGTTCCTAGCCCATCTCACAGATTTTTCTCCCTGGGCTAGTTTTGAACTTGGGTCTTCATATCTCATCCTCCTGAATAGCTAGAATTAAGGGAATGAGGCAATCTCTTCTTAACTTGGACTGATAAGAAAGGAGGTGGTGGGAAAGGGGCAAGGAAGGAAGGAAGGAAAGGAGGAAGGGAGGGAGGAGAGGATGGAGAGGGAAAGGAGGACAGCAAGAAATGGCCATGTTCCTTGGCTAAGGCATGGGCACAGTCTCTGAGGGCCTAGCTGCTCTGGGCCTTGCCCTGGTCCTGCCACCACCCCTACCTTTGAAAAGTGTTGAGCCACCCGAGAGCACAATGTTGGCAAACAGTGTCCGGCGAAGGTCCATGTCCGACTTGTGGATGGCAAAGGCCAGCACTTCATGGAGCCCCTCACTCTCATCACCTATCAGATCTGGCTGGAATAGCAGCTCAGGGGCCCGGAAACGTGCAGGGCCCACCTGTGGAGGACAAGATTGAGGCAGACATGTTCCTCAGAGGAGCCAGGCCTCCCCTTCTTCCAGGCCCAGAATCAGTTTTCACTTACATCCAGTGTGCTGCCATCTGGCAAGGTATACTGCACCTTCTCCGTCTCCAAAGCCTCATCCTTCTGTGGGTTGATGGACAGGTAGCAGGCTCGCTGTGGGGGGCAGGGACACAACCTTCAGAAAGCTGCAGCAGGGACACCTGCAGTCAGGGCTTGACCTTACGCCTTAACTCCATGTCCCTTCCCTACCCCAGGCCATGCCCACATACTCTGCCCCGTGTCACCTCTTTGATGGTCCGGACAACTTCAAACTCAGCAGAGGTGTGAAAGTCGGCCCCTTCCTTGCGTAGCAGTAGCCGAAGATAGCGGGAGACATCACGGCCAGCAATATCCACCCGCATGATGGAGTGTGGCATGGCAAAGCCCTCGTAGATGGGGACAGCATGAGTGACCCCATCCCCCGAGTCTAACACCACTCCTGTCGTGCGTCCTGTTGCGTACCTGTCACCGAGTCAGCATCCCTTCATCTCATCCACCAAGGCCTGGGGACCACCTCACCCTGATGGGAACCCTGGGATAGTTACATTATCTACTCTGAGGAAGGGTGTGAGGGACTTCTGAGAGGAAATGTCACTGGGAGAACTGAGGGGCTGTTTCTCTAGGGAAATCAAAAGGACAGTCCCAGGGGGGATGGGGAGTCAAGGGCCACTCACAGGCTGAGCACGGCCTGCATGGAGATAAATAGAGCTGGCACGTTGAAGGTCTCAAAGAATACCTCTGCAGCTTTCTCCCGGTTCTTACTGGGGTTGAGTGGGGCCTCTGTTAGAAGAACAGGATGCTACAAGAGACGGGAGAGTCATAGATGTGCATAAAGATGACCAACTAGATCCTAAAGCAATCATTCCCAAGCCACAGCCTGCTATCCTTCCTAAGGGCTATGTTTGGGCTATGGAAAATGAAACTTGGCTGTCCCTGACTGGGTAGGCACACACAGACTCACAAGTGAGAAGGCAGGAGGCCCTATCCATATGCAGACAGGGACTGGGAACCCTGATCAGGTTGGAAGCAAAGCTGGGAAAATGGGGGCTTGGAGGGAGAGGCTGGCTACCACACCTCCTCAGAGAAGGTCTGCAGCTGATCCTTGGAATAGACATACTGCCAGATTCGCTCCATGTCATTCCAGTCCCGCACCACGCCATGCTCCATGGGGTATCGGATGGCCAGCAGCCCCCGGTGCTCCTGGGGGAAGAGTACGAAGGGCCATATGTAGCTCCAGGTCCCTCACTGAACAGCTTCTTCCCCCATCCTTAGCCCTCAATAGACCTATCTTTGCCAGAATCTGGGTGTTTCCCTGCTAGGTGCTAGGTCTAGAACTCTGAACATGCTCATCTGATCAACAGCATCTGAGTTTAGTTAGCTTCAACTGGTTGGGGAACAGAGAAAATGGCAATGTGCCCCACCCCACAGTCCCTTATCTTCCTCCTGCCTCAATGCTCAGGCTTCCCCACTCACTGGCAACACACCTCTTGTTCACGCAAAGCCTCATCAGCATGCCCCTCCTGTGGCCACTTGCACCCACCACTGCTCTAGAACACAGCTGAGGCTTTGGCCTCTTTCCTCAGCTGTCCAGTCCATACCTGTTCCCTGCCTGTGCCTCAACCTGACCTGACCCCTCTCACCCTGTGCACTCTTCCTCATCACGCACCACTTAGCTTCTCTTACCCACAATCATGACTGGTACTGATCTCTTCTCCTAGTTCCCCACATATGCCTTCTGGCTCAGTGTTTCCCTTACCAGACATAGAAGCAAGGCTTCCCTACCCAGAGTTCCACATTGTGTTCCTTAAGCTGGGCTGCTTTTCTCCCCCATCATCTCTGACATACATTCTCTAGGAGGATCTCTCCAGATAAGAGTGCAAGAGGTGGCCCCCACAGCCCCAGTCAGAGCAGCTACAAAATCCAGGTGATTCTTTTTAAAAATCTTTTTGGGAATAGAGCCTCACTATGCCTGGAACTTGTCATCTTTCTGCCTCCACCTATTGCGTGCTGGAATGGATTATAGGTATATACTACCATACTCAGCTGTGATTCTCTTAAATTTGTTTTTTTCCTCTGTAGTTTCTAAACAGCTTCTAAAAGGCAGGTCATGAGAAGGTCTAACTATGTTCCTCAGGAGTGTTACCCAATACTTCACAGACCAGATGCCCCATACTTAGCACTTCACTGCTGGCATATGGAGAAGGAGATAGGGGCACACAGAACAGGTTCCCTAAGCAGCAGTCAGCACTCCTGTGACTGAGGATCCCAGGTCCAGAAAAGGCAAGACTCATTGTGTTACCTCTGCTTTTGGTCCGATGAAGATGTCCCCCTCTAGGGCTCCAGCCATCACCCTCATGTGCTTAGGCCGCCCAACACTGCAAGGACACAGAGGATCAGTGAATTGAGCAAGGTTGGCTGGTACAACTCCAAAGTTCCAGAGGACAGAGGTTCAAGATGGGTCTGTGTGACATAGGCTTACAGCACAGGCCTTGGCAGGACAGGAAGCTCAGGGTCTGATGGCATGAGTTCCCTCCCAGAGAGGGGAGTGTGTGACCCCCGCAGAGGGTCAGCCATCTGAAGCTACAATGACTCAGCCCTTGTTCTTGACTTGAGCAGGCAGGGTTGCTGCCACAGTCTGTACACTAAGGGAGGACAGCCCTAGGAAGCTAGGTGGTAGCTCCCCTGTACAGCACTCTCACTCAGTCCAGTCCATGCTGCCCTGTTCCACTACAGGAATTCTGGAACAGATTCTTGAAAACCATGAGATCTCATGAGTTACCATTCCAAAGTATGACTTGGTTTCCCATACACCAACAGGAGCCTTCCACCACATCCTTCTATCTGCAGAGTTCTCAAAGCTGATATCCTCCAGGGTGTCCATCTGGCTCTGTCACCAGAGGTGACAGGTCTGGGATTATCACTCTGGAGCCAGCTACTCTGGGGCCCAAGGATCCTGTCTGGAGGCCACTAATTCTAAAGTCTCCAGGATCCGAGGGAAGAAGCGCCTGAGGGAATTTTCTTAATGAGCCAGAGGGGCCCAAGAACTCTAGACTCCCTCTAGGATGGCACCCCATGCTACCCTGCCACCACCAGCACCACACAGGGAAAGACCCTCCTCAACTGACACAAAGTATTTTCTAAACAAGTCCTCAGGAAAACATTTCCAGGGGTTCTGTGGGTGCTCAGAGCATGTGCTTAGCATTAAGGAGGCTCCAGTTTCAATCTCTAGCACCAAAAAAAGGTACAAAAAACAAAAAGCATTTCCACAGAGGAAGGTAGATCTGTGTACTTGATCCTCCACCTTTTCTGCAAGAGTTTAACTCTTCCCCCTGAGAGAACTCCCTTTTGTTCTGGTTGCCATCACCACGCCTCATCCCAAGGGCAATGCTGGATGCCTCTTCTCTTCCCCAGCTTAGGGAAAGACAAAAGTGAGATTCTCTAAAGAAGGGGAAACCCACAGGGCTTGTCCTTTTACAGCTCTCTGGAGAATGTCAATCCCATAAATATGATGCTGGAATTATCCTCAAAGAGGGATGGGACACCCGGCCAATGTTCTCCCAGGAAGCAAACAAAGAGGGGGCTGCTGCAACACTTACTAGTTTGGAAAACAGTATTTAGGAATCTGGTCTCCTGCAAAGCCAGCCTTGATCACCCCTGAACCCTACAAGGAAAAGCAATGTTAAGTTTCTGACATTCATCTCCAGATGAAGGGAGTACCCTGCAGTGGAGGACTGGGTGCTGCAGAAATATAGGCTGAGGGGCCAGCGTGGGGAAGCCAGAGACCCTGCCCAGAGGACAAAATCATTTACATCAGTGGCTCAAAACTAGGGGTATCCTGATTTTGCATCTCCTGCCCTAGAAACATCTGGTAGTGCTTAGCAACTGAAGTGGAAGATGAGAACAGGGTGATAGTGGGTTTGTAAACATCCTACAGTGTGCATAGGCTATCTCTAAGACCCAGAAGGTGAGTAGTACAGAAACTAAGAATTCTTATGAATAGAAGATAGAATATATCTTGTGGCTCCTGGCTGGAAGAATCAGAGGCACAAGCCACTCCCAAGACAGCTTGAAATAATCCCTCAGAGTAGTTTGATTTTTAAGAGCCTGCTCCTCTCCATTTCCCAGAAGTGGTGAACCACACACTGGGACTGCCAGGGAAGATCACAGTACACAGACAAGGGCACTTTTCTTCAAGCGACTTCCCCAGTGACTATGAGGAGAATTTGGTCCCGTGACTGCTCCAGCCTTGAAGCTGAACCTAAAATCCCAAAAAGAAAGTGACATCCAGAAATCTCCCACGGATGTAGGAATTGGCTTCTCAACCTATCTTCCCACCAGTCTCCATCACAGCCCTCCAGGTCTGCAGTATAGAAATAAACATCTCCAAATTCTAGAGCGGAGTCTGGAAACCCAGAGGGCTTCCAGAGGGCTAAGGCAGCTGCCCTCTGGACTTACAAGCTTGTTGATTAGCTTATGTGAATTATCTGCCCACCAAGTAGGAAAGCCTGCTGGTCTGACAGCACATCACCAAGTCCAGGTCCAACCTTCTTGTCAAACATTAGGAGAGCTCACATAAGTACTCAAAAGAGGCAGCCATTTAAAGGATCCCACCAAGGTCACGTGGGAAGGACTCAGAATTAGTGAGTCACTGTCAAAAACTCCAAGGCCTGCATGTCAAAGGCTTCAGCTAGGTGCACATCCTGGGACCAACGCCTGGAGCATGGTGCTTATCCTCCCAAATTAGAACTCTGAGGCCAGAAAAGCTCCTAGGACAGCTGAAGCCAGCGAAGCCCCAGTGCTGAACGTGTGGATCACATGAAGCCAGACATCTTTCTTCTCAGACTTGTAAACAATTATCCCCAAACTACTTCTTGTTCATGGGAGGAGTGGTAGCTCTAAACTCTGCACTGCCTGGCTGACGGTGGAATTTCTTCTCACACAGAGGGCATTTAAGGAGATAGGGTTAAAACCGAGAAGTCAACCAGGTAGCGATGGGTATGCGGCAGTTAGAGAATAACTGGTATATTTTTTGCCCCTGGGTGCAGCCTCTTGGGAACAGTTGCAAAGACTACCAAGGCAAAACGCCTCCAAAAGATGAGGCCAGCAGCGTGCAAGGGCAAATGCCAGCCGACCCTCGCCAGGTGGTCAGAGCCACAGCCTCAAAGGATAATAAGCAATGGGTTGGGGTTGAGACCTCGGTGACTTTACTCTCAATCCAGAAAGGTTAAAAGCATCCCTAGGCCTATGGGCCGGCCACCGGGCTGTGTCCAGATCTGACTTTCCTCCGCTCGGGGTGGGGCTGGAGCTGGGGCTGGGAGGCGCCGGCAGGAGGCCAGTCCCAGGGCCATTGCAAAAGGACCACTTAGCCTCCCCCCCCCCTACATCTGGTCCTTCTGCTCTGGCCTTGGAAGCTGGCAGGCCTGCGGGGGCGGCGACCCTGCAGTGAGCGAAGGACGAGCCCCAGTCCGGCTGGGGTCCCTCCCCACGCCGCCGCGCGCGTCCCCGGGGACAGGGCGCCCATCCTCCCCGCCTGCTGGGCCTCACGTTGTCGATGACCACGGGCTGATTGGCGATGATGTCGTAGGACTCCATGGCCCGGCCGGGCCGGCCCTGCCCACGAGGCGGGCAGCAGGAGGCACCGGCGGGCGGACTGGGACCACGGCGACTCCCGACCCAGCGCCGCACCCCTTCCCCCAGAGTGCACGGCCTACGCAAGCCCCAAGGGGCTTTCGGGGGCCCCGCGGCCAATCACCACTCTCGCTGGTCCCAACTGACAGCGGGCACCAGACCCCGCTGCAAAGGAAGGGGCGGGGCCTTCAAGGACTGGCTAGCCAATGGAAGCAACCCTGGAGAAGGGACAGTGCGTTGCCAAGGTAGGCTGCGCAGAGACGTAGAATGATGTCATAGCTCAGCTCTTAAAGGGGACTGGGGCTGGAGAAGGCGGGGCTGGGCAGGTCCTAGCTTAGTTGGGCTGTGCATAAGTTCACCTGTCCCTAAAGATGTCTTTTCTATTACCCAGAGACCACACTTCTTTGTGAACACTCTAGCACTGGATATTTTACCAAATGCAATGTGTGTGTGTGTGTGTGTGTGTGTGTGTGTGTGTGTGTGTGTTGGTTCTGGGGCTTGAACTGAGGATCTGGCACTGGCCCTGACCTTTTTTGCTCAAGGATACACTCTACGACTTGGGCTGGTGATTGAGAACAAGGGTTTCATGGACTTTTCTGCTTGGGCTGTTTTGAACCTGTATCCTCAGATCTTAGCCTCCTGAGTATCTATGATTATAGGCATGAGCCACTGTCACCAGGCACCAAATGCATTTTTTTCTCAGTCAAGGGGCTTGAACTCAAGACCTGGGCACCGTCCCTGAACATTTTCTGCTCAAAGCTAACACTCTACCGCTTTGAGCCACAGCACTACTTCCAGTTTTTCTGGTGATCAGAGATAAGAATCTCATGGACTTTCCTGCCAAGATGGCTTTGAACCATGATCCTCAGATCTCAGCTTCCTGAGTTGCTAGGATTACAGGTGTAAGCCACCAGCTACCAACTCCCAACTCTTTTTTTTGGGGGGGGGTCCGGTCATGGGGCCTGAACTCTGGGCCTGGGCGCTGTCCCTCAACTCTTCAGCTCAAGGCTAGCGCTCTACCACTGGAGCCATAGCACCACTTCCGGCTTTTTTCTTTTTGCTTATGTGGTGCTGAAGAATCGAACCCAGGGTCTCATGCATGCAAGGCAAGCGTTCTACCACTGAGCCACCTTCCCAGCCCCCCAACTCTTTTTTTTTTTCTTTTTTTTTTATGCCAGTCCTGGGGTTTGAACTCAGGGCCTGGATGCTATCCCTGAGCTTTTGTGCCCAAGGCTAGTGCTCTACTACTTGAGCCACAGCTCTACTTTTTTTTTTCAGGGGGGGGCGGGCGGTGTTAATTGGAGATAAGTGTCTCACAGGCTTTCCTGTCTTGTTTGGCTCTGAACTTCGATTCTTAGATAGCAGTTTCCTGAGTAGCTAGGATTACAGTCATGACTACTGGCTCCCCACTATACATGTTTAACATTTTAAGAGAACACTAAACTGTTTTCCAAAGTGTTATATCATTTTCATTCTAATCAGCAATGTATATGAGAGAGTCCAAATTGTTCCACATGCTAACATTTGCTATTGTTACACTTTTTAAAAAAAATTTTTCTGCTCAAGCTTCTGAATCTCAGCCTTCTGAGTTATTAGCATTATAAGTGTAAGCCATTGTACCTGGATATTATATTGTTTTTAACCTCCCTCCCTCCCTCCCTTCCCCCCTCCCTCCCTCCCTCCCTTCC